TGCTGATTCTCCCAATCCGCCATTTGCGGCGACCTCTCCAACCGAATTAATGACCCGAGAGGAGCCGAGCAGATGGCACATGCGATCTTCATCTGCATTTCCTAGTCAACGTCCTGTTACGGGCGTGGATGAAGGCAGATACCTACCTGACATCTCTTCTCCCTTACGCAAGACGACGATAGCCGCCAAGAAGTTCTCATCTGGAGAATACTCAGGATCATCCAAGAATCGAATCAAGATCCGGATGCACCTAGCCTGGTATTCTTCATAAAATTGGTCTGGAACACCCTGAATACGACTGCGATGAATAGAAGCGGCGGCAATGATAGCGTAAAATAGCAAAGGGCAATGTGCTGCTCGCTGGGGAACAGTTGTGGTGAAATGAGAAACATGGTCCGTGACATCTAGTTGAGGTCCGATATTGTCGATGAAATGTTGAAGGAGTTCAGCCTCTGCTAAGTCGTTTAACGGCCACAGAGGCTGGGATTCATAGAGAACGGTGCTTGTAGATGGCGAGAGTATCTGGATCTGGTTTGATGGGGTACGGTATTGCCGTAATGGAGAAACTAAATATGTGGGAGACGACGCGAAATGGGACGCCCCCGAAGCGCTGTCTCTCCCAAATGACAGCGATCTCTTTGCCGCATAGGGTTCGGCGGCCGACACAATACTAGATTCTGCAACCGCATCTGCACAGTCGAGACGCACATTCGGGGAATTTGCAAAAGCTCCTTCATCCTCATCAATCACAATAGAAGACTGCGAGTCACTTGAACCTTCGTCACGGTCGTTACCACGTACGAATTGGACTTAGAACACCCAGATCAGCTCAAATACTGATGCCAAGCGGTAAGACGACAATCAACAAGGAACTCACCGGGAGTGTGGAAGTCGACCCAAACATGATCACTACCGTAGACAAAGGATATCTCCCGGCCACTCTGTCCAGAAGAGCGGGATTGTTCGACCACAGAGTGAACAGCTTTCAGCCGAATTCGTTTTCGTGGAGGCGGCAGGCAGGGTTCGCCTGCAGTGTCACAGTTTTCGCACCTGCGCATACCATGCTCAATGATACCTCGAATTTTGGTTAGGACATAGCGGCCATGCAGCGGACTACTACTCACATTTACTATGCTTTTCTCGGCATCGTTGGCTAGCATATTGTTAGCTGCAATTTCATAAATCAGAGAGGATTCCCACCATCCTTGTGAGCGCATAGCTCATCATATCGCTGGGGGTCGATCTCGTCCACCTTCGAGGGCGATATCAGAAGTAGTCCCCTTCGGCGAAGACTTACTTCAAATAATCGAGTGCTGTTGGAAGGTTACCCCGTATTTTGGCTACCAGACCGTCACCTCTTGAACTAGCCTAGTAAGGGTGCGGAAGATGCATATGCTGCCCTCGATAACCATGATTTTCTTTCGTGTTGAAGTTCCATTGCGGCGAGTCTCCGGTGCGGAGTTTGGTTCGGCAAGCTCTTTAAGGTTGAGAGCATCGGTACCGGCAAAGTATTAGTCGCATTCATATATGCTAACACCGGGCAACCCACAATTTGAGTGGGCATCATTGTCCGAGGTCCATGGTATCCTGAGACCCGTCTTGGAAATTCTGTCTTGATGGATATGGGGTTCAATTGTCCATCCACCCGTACCATCTGCCATCATTTCAGCCACCTCGCCAGGTACAAGATAAGGCTCAACCACTGGTCGTGCAGCTGGACCCTTGAATCAGGTGAGGTATGCTGCCGTATGAGGAATCTTTCTTCCGAATCAAGCTTCGTAGATTCACCCGTTGGTTTGGCGGAACATGTCCCCGCCAATGATATTGCGCCAATCGTGGGCCATAAATGTTGATTGTCGAAGTCGGATGCCAACAAATGCTGGGTCGAGATGTGGGTAATACATGCTCCAAACGACGAGCCCCGTTTAGAGTCCCCGTGGGGAACACCACGCGAGATGTAGTGGTTGTTCGACAGTGATATAAAGGAGTGAATGTCGCAGAGTCATTGCCTTTTCTTGCACGTATCGACTTCCCGAGCGGCTTTGGTCTCAGTATTAGAGGATTCTGGAGATCTGTGCCGGCTTTGGAATTATTGTTGCCTTTCAATTCCTTTGAGTCCAAAAACATGTTCCCACACGAGAAGGAGATGATCGAGAAGGGCGCCCAAACTATTCTCCACGAAGAGGATGTGCTCGACAAGGAGATCGCAGCTCTCAACACGATCGAAGACACACAAACCTCCAAGGTTGTTTGGCTGATTGCCATCTGCGTCTCCGTCGGCGGCTTCTTGTTCGGTAGGATATATTCGCACAGTCCTGGGGGATAAAGACTCCTGTTCATTGACTTTCTTCAGGATATGACACCGGCTATATTTCTAGCGTTCTTGTTACAATTGGCGATGACTTGGGGCACGATTTATCATCGAGCGAGCAGGAACTCATCACCTCAATAACCAGCGGAGGAGCGCTTATTGGCGCAATATTCGCCGGTTTGACCGCAGACCGCTATGGCCGCAAGATCTCCATTTATTGTGGCTGCGGAGTCTTTGTTGTCGGCGCCATTCTCCAAGCCGCAGCTTTTGGCGTCGCTCAAATGACTGTAGGAAGATTTATCGTTGGGCTAGGCGTCGGTGAGTCTCTCGCAGATCCGTGTTCGTATTGACAGAGCTCTGCTCCAAAGCTTCTGTCCCTCCTCGTCCATTATTTGATGCTGACGACAAATCAGGAAGTGCGGCAATGGTTGTGCCTCTGTAGGTCCTTCATCCTTTTCAGCCATTTTTTCCTGGTTGGCGAAGACTTCCCGGTGCACATCTCTCCACCGTAGAACGGGCTAACAGATGCGAACAGGTACATTTCCGAAATAGCTCCGGCGAAGTATCGCGGTCGTATGATCACTATGCAAACCTGCAACATCACAGGCGGACAATTCATTGCGTATTGCATCGGAGCTGGGTTCGCCGAGGTCAAGTCTTCCGGCTGGCGATACGTTGTTGCCATTGGAGCAATTCCTGCCATTGCGCTGGCTTTGTTCCTCCCCTGGTGTCCGGAAAGCACTCGGCAGCTGGTAGCGCACGGAGAACTTGGGCAGGCCGATGCCGTGCTGGCTAGATTGTATCCAAATTCGACCACACAACAGCGTCAGGACAAGATTCGAGCTATCCAGCAAGATCTGCAGCAGGCCACTGAGCTGATGGCCCACAAGTCGCTCTGGTGGTCATACAAACAGCTGCACATAGTTCCCGCCAATTTTCGTGCCATGCTGACGGCGTGCTGCGTGATGGGAGTTAGTCAACTTTGCGGGTTCAATACGCTGATGTGAGTTTTTCAGCCCCTTCCCATATCCTGTAGTGCGAGCACCTCATATAACCGTCCTGCAGGTACTACAGCGGCACGCTGTTTGCCCTTGTCGGCTTCAACAAGCCGGTTGCTGTCTCAATTGTGGTCGGGGCTTGCAACTTTTTGGGATGTTGCATCAACCTGGTCATTGTCGACCGCTTTGGCCGCCGGAGAATCCTCATCTTTACCGTCCTGGGAATGTCTCTCAGTCTTGTGCTCGCAGCCGTTGCCTTCCACTACATTCCAATCAACTCCAAGGATCTTACACTTGAGATCAACAACGTAAACTGGGCTGGCATTTTGGTACTCGTCACAATCATTTTTTACGTGGGCTTCTTTGGAACTGGCGTTGCCCCTGTTTCCTGGATGGGTGCGGAGCGTCTTCCACTTGAGGTTCGTGCCATGGGGACCATGGTCATGACCATTACCTGCTGGGGGACCAATATCATCATTGCCTCAACCTTTCTATCGATGATGAAATCTTTGAGTCCCAGCGGCGCGTTTGGCTTCTATGCAGCCATCTGCTTTCTGGGGTTCTTGTTCGCAGTCTTCTGCTTCGCGGAAACCAAAGGTATGTCTCTGGAAGAGATTCGAGAGGTGTTCAACCACGGTTTCGGTGTTCGGTACGCAAATAAGTGGCAGAAACAGCACGCCTTGGACAGCAAGAGAGCGGGTGTGTCCCCCTAGCCGGGAAAAGTTGCAGGGCGTCGTTGCTGCGGTCGACTAAGAGGTGTAGCAGGAGAGCCCAAAGCAGACCTTTCAGAAAGACTGCGATATGAGATTGGCGAGGTTTGTGCAACAACGCAACTGCAAGAAATGATGCGTTGGAGCCGGCGATTTGAAGTTCTAGAATGGTCAATGAGAGATGAATCAAAGTTGAATTTCCGCAGCACAAGGATCAGATAGATCCGTTGGGCATTCAGCCGCCCGGTGGTGCTGCCAGGGTCCACATGATCGAAACACAGTTGATAATGTGGGCTGTCAAAGTAGTCTGCCTTGGTTTTCTGCATCCCAACAGTTGGGTATCTCTGGTGGTGCTCCCAAACCCCTCGGACTCTTTGCGTCATGGCAGGCACAGGCGATTTTAAGAGCATTGGAAGAGCTGTAACTCAATTTCTCGGAAGTAGGGGATGTTTCGAATATTTTCACCGTTGTAAGACATAGGCTGATTACTCAATTCAGACATGAACTGACGGGAGAGTCTATTTTAGACATGGACAGCTCTGTACAGGGAAATGATCCTGGATTGTGCAGCATTTCATTACCTCGAGTCTGTTGGTAGTGAACGGTGAGACATATCGTCCGCTTGAAATTCTGGCTTGAAACATGGCCAGAACAGGCAGTGCATCTGATGGTATAATATGTGTTGATGTGATATATGGCGACGCTCAATGAGCTCTTCACACCCCATTGCACTCGATCTTCCATCAATGGACATGCGTTGTTGGTTGTTGCCTACGAAGAAAAATGCTATTGCAGGTTTTATGCCCTGCCGTTTTATCAAATGACATTTTCAAATGACACTCGGCGCGCTCAGCGAGCCAGGAGCTTTGCGACTCCGCAAGATGGAACTTTGATAGCGATCAATTGACGCAGGTGCTTGAATTCTCCCATCATTCCGCATTCAATCAGACTTAGCTCTTGCTCTCGAAGTCGTCGCCAGAGATGCAGGCATTTAAGGCCTGCGCTCCTCGGGCGCTGCGATCTGCGACTAGCACTACGTCAAGAAGCTATGCCACCGTCTCGTCGGGTTCGCCCTATACTCAGACGCGGAATAACCTGAGAATCCACGCCGACACGAAAGTCCTCTTTCAGGGTTTCACGGGCAAGCAGGGTACATTTCATGCTCAACAGGCAATTGAGTACGGCACCAAGGTTGTGGGTGGAACGAACCCGAAAAGCGAGCCTCCCCGTCAGCTTCTTGCAGAGATACAACATGCTAACCGCAAGCAGAGGCCGGTACCCAGCATCTTGGTCTGCCCGTTTTCAAGAATGTTACCGAGGGTGTAAAAGAGACAGGAGCTACTGCAAGTGTCATATTCGTACCGCCTCCGGTAGCAGCAGCTGGTATCATGGAAGCTATTGAAGCTGAAATACCGCTGGTGGTGTGCATTACTGAAGGGTAAGGCGGCTCTTATACAGATTTCACTTACTGACGAACTTCAGAATCCCCCAACATGATATGCTTAAGGTCACCGACGCGCTAAAAACCCAAAGCAAGACACGTTTGGTTGGTCCCAACTGCCCTGGAATCATCGCGCCCGGCCAATGCAAGATCGGCATCATGCCAGGATTCATCCACAAACGAGGAAGAGTTGGGATCGTATCAAGATCGGGAACACTGACATACGAGGCGGTCAATCAAACAACCCAAGCAGGTCTCGGACAATCTTTGGTCGTGGGTATCGGAGGTGATCCATTCAGCGGCACCAACTTTATTGACTGCCTGAGTGTTTTCATGGAAGACGACGAGACAGAGGGTATCATCATGATTGGTGAGATTGGAGGGAGCGCCGAGGAGGACGCGGCAGAGTTCCTAAAGAGCGAGAACAAGAAGAACAAGCCCGCAGTCAGCTTCATTGCCGGTATCACTGCCCCTCCAGGGCGCCGAATGGGACATGCTGGTGCTATCGTCAGCGGAGGAAAAGGTGGTGCCGAATCAAAGATCTCGGCATTGGAAGCTGCTGGAGTGATCGTGGAGAGGAGTCCAGCCATGTTGGGCAAATCGTTGCATGCACAGTTCGTTAACCGGGATCTGGTCTGATTGGAAGGCCTTGGGATAAGATGTTCGGTGAGGACGGACACTTGAGTCTTCAAGGGGTGCATGCATGTATTTTGATACCGCGAATAAAGCGCATGTGAAAACATTCTGCATGGCCGCTTGCCCTTCGAGCCGTGAATGTCCAGCTCTTGTACAGGGGCTGCCCTGATCCTGGGCCCTCTAATGCGCATGATCCCTCCCATCTACGCCGTCAGTTTGCCCATTTCTTCGGAGAGCATCTTCTCCTTTATCGCAGAGAATCCGTTATGATCATAGTGATATAGCGCCCCGCCGACTCGCTCGAACATGCAGCCAAGCTTGAAATCCACAGAATACCAAGAATGCCTGGCCTGTCCGTCAATATCAAATACTTAACAAGGTCCCGAGGATGGAGACTCACAGCATAAACCGCCACTGCAATAAATATAGAGCCCGCGACCGCTCCACCGTCTTCAGGATCTCCTTCTAGCCCCATCATGGAGTGATGGTCTCTCTGTACGCCCCAGACAATCAGTATGAGCTTCACACGAACTTGCTTGGTGTACTGGGTATGTCGGGCAACGCTCGTACCGCAAATAGGCTCCCTATAATCGAGAGGATGACAATGGCGAAGACCGAGAGAATCGTGCTGTCAAAAGGTTAGTAGTCCGCATCACACATAGACATCGACGAGAGTCGAAAGACTGACCAGCTCCATGCGTTCAAGGCGGATACGACTGGCTTCATAATGAGCTGTGTTTGTCTCAACGTGCTGGAACCGAAAATGCAGGACTTCGCGCTCCCTGTCGGCACTAAAAAGCCGGCTTGACGTGGTGGACAGTCACTCGAGGGTATACCTTGCGACACGACCCGTGCCACAGGTCAGATTGCGATTCTTGGATGGAGGTATTACTCTTTAAAGGTCTTTGGGCTGCACAGTAGTGACGTGCGCTTCCTTAACAGGTTGAACCTTTAAGCTGAGGTGTTCCTGCGGCCAGCACCGGGGCAGCTCGAGTGCTGACGGAACAAATATTTTCCATTCCGAGCCCCAAGTCCTCGTATGACCTTGGTCTGATGATCCAATTCCTGAGTTGTCAAGAGTATATATGACCTCCCCATCTGACGACCTTCAACGAACATTATCTGTCTCAAGCATTCATTCTCTCCCCTTCGATTCTATTATTTTGACCTCTGCTCGAAAAGGATGGTGTGAGCGACACCCCGAATCACAGTACGATTCCGAGCCCACCCCTTAAAATTCACATTCGAAGACTTCGGTACAAGTCTGGCACGTGCCCCCTGACGACTATCTTTCTGTTTGTCGTCAAGACATTCACACCCTTTAACAGTCTCCGCCGACATATTCATGACCCGTAGTGATCATAGCTCAGATAGCAGCGAGCGCTCCCCGCTCATTCGAGACGCCAACAACTCGAACAAAAATGACGATATCCCCGAACAACCACTTCTGGAGCCGAGACGCCATTCGGAGGAGCCACCCACACCAGAGGATGGACTCCTTTCGGATGAGCGAACAATGTCACAGGCGATTGACTATGAAGAGTCAATAGTGGAGTCCAAAGATGCTCTGTACCTCGCCTTTCTCACGGTTTGCATTGGGGGCCTTCAGATAGTCTGGTCCGTTGAACTCTCCAATGGCTCCCCATATCTGCTCTCTCTTGGAATGAGTAAAGCCTTGCTCGCATTCGTTTGGCTTGCAGGTCCCTTGACCGGGTCACTTGTTCAGCCATACATCGGAATTCTAAGCGATCGATGCCGAGTCTCGTGGGGCAAAAGGAAGCCCTTCATGATCGCCGGGACTCTGGGCACTGTTGCTTCGTCGATGATCCTTGCATACGCGCGAGACATCATCCGAGTCATTGGAGGACTTGACGCAAATGCACAGTATACTGGGGGCTACAGGACTGCAACTATCGTCCTTGCCACGGTCATGATGTGGTGTCTAGACTTTAGCATCAACACCGGTAAGTTCATTCTGAGGGCTTTTCTCCCATGTATCTAACACCCTCCCAGTACAAGCCGCGATTCGCGCGTTTATTGTTGACAACGCTCCTTCTCATCAACAAGAGTCGGCCAATGCATGGGCTTCACGCATGACAGGCATTGGGAACGTCTTTGGCTATATCTTTGGATACCTGAATCTGCCACGATATTTCAGCTTCTTTGGTAACACCCAATTCAAAGTCCTGGTTGTTCTGGCATCCATTGCGTTAAGTTCGACTGTTTTGATCAGCATCCTCGCCATCAAGGAGCGGAACCCACAACTTGATCCTCCGTCGAAGGCCGATTACGAATCGGGTGGGTTGCTGTCCTTCTTCAGACAAGTCTTCAGCTCCATCAAGCGACTGCCACCTCAAGTCCGCAAGGTCTGCGAAATACAATTTTTCCACTGGCTAGGCTGGTTTCCTTTTCTCTTTTACATTACAACTTATATTGGTCAACTATACGTTGACCCCCATCTGAAGCCTGGTCTTTCGGATGATGAGGTGGAGCGGTTTTGGGGCAAGGCTACTCGAGTCGGAACACTGGCGCTGCTCACCTACGCGATCGTATCGTTTGCGTCAAACATAATCCTGCCCTTCTTAGTCGTACCAACGTACAAACACAAAACGACAGATGACGCCGAAGATTTTGCGAGACCAATCACTCCGACGTCGCCTATCGGCACGCGATCACGGGAATTTCCATGGGGCGAACACCCTACACTCAGTCGGTCTCAGACCAGTCTGTCACTCAATCGGCCGCTCTCGAACCCTGTCGCGAGCACATCGTCCATTCGCAATTCTGGCATTTTTAGACACTGTTTGGATAGGATGCAAATTCCAGGGTTGACATTGCGACGAGCGTGGCTAATCTCTCAACTTCTCTTCACGCTGTGCATGTGGAGTACTGTGTTCATATCGACACCCTTGGCAGCATCAATCATGACTGCTCTAGTCGGAATCTCCTGGTCATTGACATTGTGGGCTCCGTTTGCATTGATCTCCGCAGACATTTCACGACGTGATGAAGCGAGGCGGAAGAGGCGGCAGCAGAGACTCATAAATGGAGAAGATCTTGAAGACCTCGATGATAAAGAGACAGACGAAGAAGATCAAGCCGGCATTATCCTTGGACTTCACAACGTTGCTATCAGCGCTCCGCAAATTCTGGCAACATTGATTAGCAGCGCCATCTTCAAACTGCTGCAGAAGCCGCGAAACCAGCCAGGCGATGTCAGTGTGGGATGGACTCTGAGGATTGGTGGGCTTGGAGCGCTGGCAGCTGCCTTTATCACTTGGCGGATGGAGGAACCTGGGAACGAGGATGATTGAGACATCTGAATTACGGACCAGCATTGTTCAGTCTGTAGTAAGTCATGGTTTGGCACGGGTCATTGGTTCGACGCTATTGAAGGGCTGAGCTGGAGCAAATCCGACGTGGACTGTTAGACTACATTGAGATGTCCCGAGTATACAACCCCGTCAAAACTAGCACGAGGTTGTTGCATGCGAGCGTCGGATACGGAGCATTGGAGGGCCTGGGGCGCTCAGCAACATTGTGACCAGGGTGGAGGGAAGGGGAATGGAATGTACAGTGCATTGATACATCTGCAAGGAACTGCTTTGGCACAACAGCCCTTTTCTATTCCCAGCGGCGTGTTCTTGGGCTCGAGACTTCTTCTGGATGGTGCAATGCAAGGCTTCATGTGACAGAGTTTTTAGGCGCTCGGCGTCTTTGAGCGGCTCCTTCGGTCAATTCACAGGAAATGTACGTCGAGACTCGGCAGGAGCTGTGCCGCATGGTGTTGTATATGCAAGTGTGATCGACGACAGGCCAGTCAATCCATGGATCGGCACAGCCAAAGTCAAGAGAATCAGAACCATTCTTCGTCTCTTCATTTCTTCTATATGTGAATCTGACCGAGGCGTGTCTAATCCCACACGGGGGTCCCCCCCCCTTTTCGAATACGAGGTCGACTAGGTACTCAGGCCAATGTGCTGGCCACAAGTTGCCCGTATCTCCACCATCTTCTGTGGCGAACACAGACAGGTCTAAAAGGAACCGAAGAGCAACCGTGAGGACGGATCGATAATTACGGCTTCCCACGGCGCGCCTACAGGCTGTTAGGCTAAAGTTCGGCATCTTGGGTGAACAGGACATTTGCCGGACAGCATCAGTCCGCAACCAATCCGGTAGAATGCCATCCATCCAAGATGGTGGATCGTTCCATCGTCAACTGGGGAAGCAAAAAAAGGTTACCACAGGATAAATCATGGCATTTGATCACCCAGGCGGCGAGGCGGACTCGGGAAAAGGGTACAAATATCCCACGAGCCATGGTCCCTGCCAAAGAAGCGACAGTTCTGCTCTTCGAGTCCTCTGGCTTTTGTTTTTTTTTTTGTTTTTTTTACAAGGCTCTGTGCACGAGAGTCTAGCTTTTCTTGAGACGCTGGCACATCCAAACGAGAGCCCATCACCCCGCGGGTCGATCCACTTTCTCGTCTCCTTGTATCCAATTCACTCCCTCGCAATCCGGTGAAAGAGAAAAGAAAAGGGCTGGTGATTCTTGTCGACCACCTCCGCCATGGTCAAAGACATTGCCCCAAGAGCGGGTTTGCCTGCTGATTTCCTTTGGGGCTTTGCCACTGCCGCGTTCGTATCTCCATTGCTAATCTACAGCTCACACTAACGTGGTGCAGATATCAGATTGAAGGTGGTACCACGGCAGATGGACGAGGCCCTTCAATATGGGATACCTTTTGCAAAATCCCCGGCAAGATTGCTGACGGCAGCTCCGGGGATGTGGCATGCGACTCATACCATCGGACGGCCCAGGACATCGAGTTGCTCAAGAAGCTTGGTGCCAAAGCATATCGTTTCTCTATCTCCTGGTCGCGTGTCATTCCGCTGGGTGGCCGCAATGACCCAGTCAATGAGGCCGGGCTCCGCCACTACGTCAAATTCGTTGATGACCTCCTCGAGGCAGGAATCGTGCCCTTCATCACACTTTTCCACTGGGA